CATCGAAGGTGCTTCTGTTTGTGGGGTCTGAGCTGCTGCCTGTGTCTCTTGCAGAAGAAGTGAGTGAGGAGGAAATGAGCGAAGATGAGGAGCGAGAGGGCGAGAACCACGTCCTCGTCGGTACGAAGCCTGCGTGCTCAGTGAGCGTGGCTGGGCGGGGACTACTGTCCGAGGACATGCTGCCCCAGAGGCTGCGGCAAGCACCCATGCTGGTGGTCCCAAGACTCTGCCCCATACTTGGCACTTGTGCCTTGGTAGCCGGCACCCCTTAGAGGAACAATGCTGACCGCACCCTGGGGGCTGCTGGGCTTGGACACGGTGGGATCTGCCAGCTCAGCTCTGACCGTGGGGCCCTCACTGGCCTGGGGCTGGTGTGGCCTCTGCAGGCAGCCAGCTGTACGCCGGGCCAGCAGTGATGAGTTCTGGGCAGGCCTGAGATGCTATGCCGTCTGTCCCGGGTGGTGGGTCGCACAGCCCCGTGTGTGGCTCTTGGGGTGCCCCCCCATGTGGCTCCTTCATGGGCTCACTGTTTCCTCAGAACAGGACTTGGTTGTGACACTTGCTGGTTCCTGGTTCCGTGATGGGTTTCACTCTTGAAGTTCCAGAGTCACGATTTGACCGGGATTCTGGGGAGAGTGAAGAAGGGGAAGAGGAGGCGGGTGAGGGCACCCCGCACAGCAGCGCCCTCACCGAAGGAGAGCTCGTGCCCGACTCGCCGGCCTTGTCGCCCATTGAGCTCAAGCAGGAGCTGCCCAAGTACCTGCCCGCCCTGCAGGTCAGGCACCTGCCCACCCCTAGCCTGGCTGTGCTGTGTTGGTCACGGATGGGGCCGCCGCCCTCTGCGTGTCCGTGATCACAGTCTGGCCTCTTGTCCAGCTGCATGGGTGGGAGGACAGCTCCTGTGAGCGCAGCCAGGACGCCTACGAGGTGCTGCACGCACAGGAGGCAAGCAGACTGGCGGTGGCCGGGTGTGCAGTCACTTCTACTCAGCCTGGGCTGAGTGGGCAGCTGCCATCCATTGCCCTGTCGCCATGTGGGGGTCTAGGGCAGTGGTGGGAGTCGGCCCTTGCCCTGCTGGGGGACGGCCGGGAGGGACTGGGCAGGAGTCGTGCCAGCAGGCAGGGTGTGCAGCAGGCCCTCATGTGCTGGCGCCGTCTCAGGATGAGTGCCTTGGGGGGATGTGCCCGGGCTGGCTTTTGTCCACGTTGGGTGTATTTCAGGATAAAGGGCACGTGCTGACTGAAGGAAGCAGAGGCAGGAGAGGAGGGCTGCGCCTGGCCCGCCATCCACGCACTCTCTGGGCCCTCCCGAGACTTCCCGGTGGGGGTTGGCTGTGGGATGTGACCCCGGCTGCTGCGCCCTCACGCTGGTGCTTCCTCCTAGGGCTGTCGGAGTGTGGAGGAGTTCCAGTGCCTGAACAGGATTGAAGAAGGCACTTACGGGGTGGTGTACAGAGCTAAGGACAAGAAAACAGGTGGGTTGAGTCCCGAGGTGGTCCCTTGTTGGGGGGGTGCATGGGGCAGGAACTGGGTGGTCCAGAGTGCCAGCCAGCCCCTCAGGCCCCCACACCAGCTCCAGGAGGGAGGTGGGGTGTCCTGCCTGTGTCGTGGCCAGCTGGTGGGGGCTGAGATCTGAGCTAGGGCCGTCCTGGGCCCTGGCACCTCCAGTGTTAAGGTCATGGGACACAGTTCCCTACTGTCCTAGAAGTTGCCCCTCCCCTGGTGCTGGGCCTCAGCTTGGCCTTACCTGACTGGCGCACACCTGGGCCACCGACCTCTTGGTACCTCTGGAGGTCACACGTCATCCTGGCCATCAGACTCTGCTGCTCGCTTGCAGCTCAGGCCACTCACTCCCCAGACGGTGTGGGGTCCACCTGGCCGGGCCTGGGAGCCGCCAGGGCATTGGTCTTGACTGCCGGCACCTGAGCAGGTGTGTGAGCCATGGGTTGGAGCTCTCTCAGCCCTGCGGCCAGGCTCTGAAGAATCAGCCCGCTGGGGACCCTGAGTGCCATGGATGCCATCTGGGGTGTCCAGGTTTGCTGTCTGTGACCACGGAGGGAGACAGTGGTGAACAGAAGAGTGTCGGTGGGAGGGTGTTTCTCAGCACTTGTCTTTAAACTGCTCTCTTCAGATGAGATCGTGGCTCTGAAGCGGCTGAAGATGGAGAAGGAGAAGGAGGGCTTCCCCATCACGTCACTGCGGGAGATCAACACCATCCTCAAGGCACAGCACCCCAACATCGTCACTGTCAGGGTGAGGGCTGGGCTCCAGGTGTCAGGGGGAGCCGGGGAGCCAGGCAGCAGGCTGGCCTGGGCGCCGGTGTCACCGGGCCTGCGGTTGTTTCCCAGGAAATAGTCGTGGGCAGCAACATGGACAAGATCTACATCGTGATGAACTATGTGGAACATGACCTCAAGAGCCTCATGGAGACCATGAAGCAGCCGTTTCTGCCAGGTGGGCCTCCTGCAGGCCTCAGTCAGTCCTACAGTGTGGCCCTGACCCTGACCCCAAGGGGTGTCCCTCCCCCAGGCCACCGGTGACGTCCCTGGGGCAGAAGGAGCGTGACCTCCGACTCTGACCCTTTGTACCATGTGGGCGAGAGTACCCGTGCCCTGGGCTGGGAAGCCTGGTGGCTGCTGGGGTGTTGGGTGACCCACGGGGCCGGCCCTTGCTGACCTGTCTCTGTGCAGGGGAGGTGAAGACCCTGATGATCCAGCTGCTGCGTGGCGTCAAGCACCTGCACGACAACTGGATCCTGCACCGCGACCTCAAGACATCCAACCTGCTGCTGAGCCACGCGGGCATCCTCAAGGTGAGCCCACGCCCCCGTGTGGCCCCTGCCCTCGAGGCGAGCCCGGCCCCTGCCCGGCCCCCATCCTCGGTCAGCACCCCCAGGCCAGCTCGGAGGGCCCAGCTCCCAGCTGCAGCCCACCGTTTATCCCTGAAGGTAGGGGACTTCGGGCTGGCACGGGAGTACGGGTCTCCTCTGAAGGCCTACACCCCAGTTGTTGTGACCCTGTGGTACCGCGCCCCAGAGCTGCTGCTGGGCGCCAAGGTGAGTGTGGGTGAGCAGGAACCAGCCCCGGGCCCGGGCGACCTGCCAGCCCCCTGAGTGCACCCTGGTCTTCCAGGAGTACTCCACAGCCGTGGATATGTGGTCGGTGGGCTGCATCTTTGGGGAGCTGCTGACTCAGAAGCCACTGTTTCCTGGGAAGTCGGAAATTGATCAGATCAACAAAGTGTTCAAGGTGGGTCTGGGGCGCCGCCTGCAGGTGCCCGCTAGGCCATGTGGGGGCGCTGCAGGCCACTACTCCTCCCTGCAGGTCCTGGCTGTTTGAGACATCCCCCTCTTTTAGGACCTGGGGACCCCCAGTGAGAAAATCTGGCCTGGCTACAACGACCTCCCTGCCGTCAAGAAGATGACCTTCACCGAGTACCCATATAACAATCTCCGCAAGCGTTTCGGGGCCCTGCTCTCAGACCAGGGCTTCGACCTCATGAACAAGTGCGTGTGGGCGGGGTCGCCTGTCCCTGGGCCCTCCCCCAGCCCCACCCCGCGGTGGCCCCAACCGCCCTTGTTCTCCCAGGTTCCTGACCTACTTCCCTGGGCGGCGGGTCAACGCAGAGGACGGCCTCAAGCACGAATATTTCCGAGAGACGCCCCTCCCCATCGACCCCTCCATGTTCCCCACGTGGCCAGCCAAGAGTGAACAGCAGAGGGTGAAGCGAGGCACCAGCCCGCGGCCCCCTGAGGGAGGCCTGGGCTACAGCCAGCTGGTGAGGGGCGGGCTGGCCGGGGCGGGACGGCTCGGGGGGTCCTTGAGGTGAGGCTGGCCCGGCCAGGGCCCCACGCTGCCGCTGTCTCTGCAGGGTGACGACGACCTGAAGGAGACGGGTTTCCACCTCACCACCACCAACCAGGGCGCCTCAGCCGCCGGCCCAGGGTTCAGCCTCAAGTTCTGAGCTTCACAGTGGACGCCAGACCCACCCTGGGGAGCGCCGACCGACTGCCCAGCTGGGACCAGGGCAGACGTTGGAGGCGGCATCTGGGTCCTCCTAGGTCCTGCCCTGACTGGACGTGGCGGCTGCCAGCCTCGAGTCAGACTGCTGGTCCTGCTGGGTCTCCACGTTTTGTTTTTATTTTATCGTGGCTTGTAAATTTGTAGAATTAAATCACATTTTCCTTGTTGTGGGAGGAAAGGCTGTATTTTTTCAGAGGTATTGGACCTTCCCTGCAAAGAGAGGGCGGGCGTCCGTACTCCCTCACACACAACCACGCTGACTGCTGGGGGACCAGGCTGGTCTGGTGCTGGCCGCGACTGGGGACTGAGCTGCGGGGGTTTTACTCTGCACCGTTCAGGCTGCAGCTGCGAGGCCTCCTTCCCTCCCCCAGGCCCCCGGAGCTGGGCGTGGCATGCTCAGCCACAGGGGGTTTTTGTACAAGGTGGTTACACGTTTTAAGATGTAGTAAAATACTCTTGGAGGAAAGGTCTGGAATGTTCTTCTTTCAGCCGCTGGCCCTGCACTGGGTCCTGGGCTAGTGCTGCCTGGGAGGGGAGGTGGGAGCAAGGGGGGCCTCTGATCCCACGTGGGCCCGGCTCCTGCCACCAGCAAGTCCTTCGGCTCCTGGTCTGGCGGGACAAGGTGTCGCTTCTACAAAGGGGACCCTTGCCACTGCCCGCGCCAAGCTAGTCCCTTCTGTTGGGGTCCCCAGCCTGGTCCCCTCCTCCTGCTGAGGGCGTCCCCCAACCCTGACCCGCTGTCCTCGGGGAGGCCAGGTGGCCACAGCGGGCCCCACCCTGGTTCAGCTTCCTGCCTCATTCCGGGCCTCCGGACCCACTTGCAGGCTCCGTCTGCAGAAGCCCTTCCTGGCCTGTCTCCGGGGCCTGTGTTCTCCCCGCGAGGAACTGTACAGGGACGTCGGGGTGTCGTGGCCTCAGGCTCCCCACTCCGTGGGCACAAGACCGGCCACCCACCCTCCCAAGAAAGGGAGCGGAGACGTCAGAGAGAAAGGGCTTTATCAGCAGCCTCAGCCTGCCGGAGGGGGGGCCTCAGCTCCGCACGCGGACTCGCCAGGAGTAGGTGCTGAGCACGCGCTGCCGCCGGCGCACCACGCAGGTGTAGGTGCCCTCGTTGACGGCGTTGGCAATGATGCTCAGGTGCGCCTCGCCCAGCGCCAGGTAGCCGGGGTAGGAGAACTCCAGGGGCTCCTGGTCCTTGTACCAGCTGCGGGGAGGCGGAGCGCTGGGCGAGGGTCCCGACGTCCCCGGCCCCCGGCCCGCCCCACCCCTTCGGCGTGGCTCGTACGGCCAAGGCGGAGTCGTACGGTACGACGCAGGAAGCGTTTCGG